GAATTATAATAAGCACTTTTATTGCCTACAAAACACCATGTGCAAAAATTTTCATGCAGAGGAGAGAACGAACTCGTATGCTACCATCCGTAAAACTTATATATCCTGGGAGATTGCAGTTTTGCTCTTCGTGTTCCTTACCAGCGTTCTAGACTCAGTAGCCTACCACCTACGTCTCCATTAGAAGTCGGAGCCCTCCCTTGGTAAGCGCTGGCGAACAACCGATGTTAACGAAGGGCCGTGTCTTTCAAATTTGCACTGATTCTTGTTCAGACTTCCCTTGAGAATTACACGGAAGCGGTTTGTGGTGGACTTACCAAGCCAAATCCTCAGTCGCGAGCACAAACTGCGCTTTTCGTCGCTCGACTTCTTTCTCGGCACGATTCTGTCACAGTTCCTGTTAATGCTGTTAAGCTGATTACTCCAGATCTTGTCAAGGTATTCATTTCGTCGAGTTCGTTTTGTTGGCTGGAAGCTTGGTTTTTTGAAGGATTTTTCTTAACTTTCCAGTGTTCTTTCTGATGCTGATGCTGAAGTGCGTGAAGCATCATTTCGGGCAATGGGCGCTATTTTGCGATGCATTGGCGAGCAAGGGGCTCGACGGTTGTTTGGCGAAGTTGCGGAAGACAAACTAAAAATGGCTAAGGTTGCTTCTGAATATCTTCTATTTGGAATAAATTGTCAATTAAAAAACCGTTAGCACGAGTTTTCAGATTACTGAGAATTTCGAGAAAATTCGAGAAGAATTTGGTGACAAGGCTGCTCCGGAAATTATTCGATTGCATAGCGCTGAACTGAAGCCTAAGGTGTGTTGAGATTTTGCTCGTTTTTTGAAAATAGACTTAACCGGCAAATTTAGTGTAGTTGAGCACTGGTCTCTTTATGAAGGCGACTTTGATACAATATTGACCTGAAGAAGTAGGATGCTTTTCAGCCTTTGCAAACATCGTCTGCACCAGCAATGGCGTCCTCTACCTCGCTGGAGACACGAAAAGCAGCGCCTGCACCTCGTGCTCCTGTCCGTGCTCCTGGATCTGCTCCTCGACCGTCGACAGCCGTTTCAAGACCGACCAATCGAACGGCAACTCAATCAGCAATTGCCCCAACCAATCGAATGCCAGCGCGGCCGACAACTGCTCCAAAAAGGCCTAACGTGGTCTCAGCAACGACAGCTCGTTTAAACAGTGAGTGGAATTCTCTTTTTTGAGTAGCTGAAGCCTTGAGGGTGCACGAGCGCAGACTGAAAGCATTGGGATGCGGATCCAGTTTTGTTCCAAATCAGTATCCCTGTGATATTTTTACTGTGACGGTAGCAATTTTGGGCAAGTAATATTTTTCGTGAGGCCTCTGGTGCCGAGATGAAGAAAAAGCCATGAGAAGCGGCGTAGAAACCTGAGGAATGGGACCCCACTCCTTGCCCGTTGGTTTCTGCCGTCATCGCTGCTGCCCTCCTCAATACTAACGCTCTCTATGCGAAACGGCTGGAGAACTGCGGTGGCTGGCTAACATGAAAAATAAAAGAAAAGAAGCTCTTAAAACACCGAAAATACCGGCCTCCTTACTCTACGCAATGGAGGAATCTACGAGCAGACGGCGGGATAAGGGACAAGGAGGAGCAAGGGGCGAAAAACAGCGTTGAGACCAGAGAGTAGTCAGATCAGCAAGACGTCGTGACGAGATACCACTATGGTGGGCGCACGGACGGACTAGTGTTGGCCTCTAATAACGTGATTTCCAGGCCATCTTCTAGGACGACGATGCTTCATACCGCATCGTTTACGGCTCCTGCTCCTTTTAGTTTTTCGGAACCTTTCACTCGCCATGGGATGCCTTTGAATCGTTGTAGTAGGAAGTAGCTAATTCCTGACATACTTTGAAAAAACACCCTACTTTTCATTTTTCAGACGAGAGTTCATCATAGAGTTCCAAAAGGACAGGGATAACATGGAAAGAAATGCTATACGGAAACCTCTGTTTTTCAGCTCCTGTGCGTGCCCCGCTGAGCACTCGACCTACTCAGTCTGCAACTCCACGGCCATTTTCAGATGCCACAAAGCCGAGTGTAGCTCGCCCAGGTATGTTTGTTTCCATTATTTCCGGTGCTTATACATAAGCGTATGTTTCGAAGCTCATGTTAATTCTCGTGTGTCTAGGTCTCTCTGCTCGACCCCCTGTGAAAACAGTCTTTGCACCTAATGTTGTCCGCACGTCGACGAGTTCAACCAAGCCAGCTCCGAGTGCACCCGTGAAAATAATTGTGAGCGTTTCCACTGGCTGAATCATGACTGAATTCAGGCAATACCTATGTATACCTATAAAACTGAGTTCCTTGCTAACAAGAATTCTAAATCCAGAGCAATCCCTCGAGTGGTGCTGTACCTGCCGTGCCGGTAATTGGATCATTGGAAGGCCCTCCGAAAATAACAGCTGGTCTGCCTCGATCGAATTCTGGTATGTTCGTCCAAATCGCTTCGAAATTTCAACACAATGGAAAATGTCAAAGCGTATGTATTGGTTCTGTAGAGCGCTTTAGGTACTAGGTTGGGCTGAGGATACCTTTTTCAGTAGCTGTCCCGAAGTCTTATGGTGATCGAAATGTGTGTCAAAACAGCATGAGACATTAAAATATTCATTTTCAGAAGCTCAAACGTAAAATTGCTTTGAACAAACCACAAAATATTATTAGTGTTCCCGGACGCCTAATGTTTATAAGCCTTGAATTGTTGCGTTTAATTTTGTACTCATTCATGGGTTCAGTGTGGTCACAGTGCGCATCCGTTTCTACAAAAAGTGTGTTGTGCGCTTTCGTAATCGGAGAGAAGCCAACATTAAAAGTGCAGCATTAAATTTTTCTGCATAGGGATTCAAAAATGCCTTTTTCTTGTGGAGGAATGATTGGAAGGTTAGAAGTATCATGCAAATCACTTTTAATACGCCTTGAAGAGTAATATCTATCATACTAATTATCTAAAGTAGAAAAAACAAAGCGCTCGAAATTACCCGAAAATCTAATTATACCGTATTCTCGCAATTGTCTGAGCCGAAGTGGCTGTACGGAGCAGCGTCATTTTTTGGGCATCTTTAGTTACGACGGCGCTTCGCTTCGTCTGCGGCCGCTGCTCCATTTCAGCTTATTCGCAATGTTCCGCTCAAACGTTAAGGTCGTTTCCGTGACATGTTACCGCCGCGTAGTATAGCTCGATGGAAATTAACCATATATAGAGAACTACTAAACGACAAACCCCCGACAGGAGGCTCGTCGCACGACGAGAAGGCAGAGACGCAGGCTAGTCAGCGGTCGAGTTGTAGCGCTTACTGTACGCGATTCTGACTAAATTCAATGAGTGCATTAAGTATCACTATCCAGGACCGGTGTTTCAGTGCAGAAGAAGCGAAGTCTGGGTTCAGCTTGTTACTATGTATCACCTAATGTTTTTCTGATGTTTTCGTTTGATATGTGTTAGCTACACTTGGGCCCAACATTGATGCTTCATCAATCTACCAATTTATTTCTACATAACTATTGAAAAGTACGGTCGTGACAATCCTATGAGGTGGTGCGATTTGGTGCACCTATCTAGTCCCTTTTTCGTCCCAGCGGCAAGTTATTCTCGAGTCTCGGTATTATATGTTCCTTCACAAGCTTTTTTGACTTAACAACACACGGCACAGAAACAAAACATATGTGTATACATATAAACACAGTCAACTACCAGGTAAGCACCACTGGGCCAGCGGTAGGGTCTGTGTTTAGGTTAATGAGATGCAACCTGCATCCGCCCTACATGCTGCGGTTCCAGGCTTGGTTATCTTACTTGGTAGTTGACTCTGTTATGATTCATGTTTTGATAGTGAAGTTTCTCATTGATCCCTCGCGAACAAAAATATATGTATATGTATCCTGCTGCCCTAATTATGACGTGGATCCTACTATACTGATTCTTCGCCACCTCATCTAGGAAATCCAATACATCCAATATATTTATCCGGCTTTCTTAGTGTAAATGTGGTCCCAAGTGTAGCTGATTAAACTTCACTGCCTTTCATACGTGTTCCGTGTTTTTATTGTGCGCACCTTTGAGTGTAGTTCAAATAAATAAATAAAAATAAATAAATAAATATCGCATCATTATACGTAGTATGCTATACGTTCCCTCGACCCGGTCGCGTCTCTTCCTTATCGCCGAGCGACGGGCATCCTGTCGGGTACTGCACAGAATTCAGGTAACAGGTTTCAAGGTCACAAACATGTCCTTAAGTTTTGTAGACCCGTACCATCTCTAAACCCTTACCACCATGGTAGCTTCTATGGTATATCATGAGAGCAGTCGACAGCCCAGATCTCCCTATTTTCGTGCAATTCGGGAAAAGGCAGAGTTGGGTCGCATAGCTCTACACACAGGAGGTCACGACACAGTGTGTAAATGACCACATCGGCAACTTAAAAGAGGTTTATTTATATTTCTCCCTGCTTCTTTTCAAGTTTAGTCGACCTCCACAGCATCATACGCTCTGAATGTATGGCATTCCGCGACTTCCAACGACCATCTTCGCCGGCCAAATAAATTATGAGATAGGGAGGGTTACTTGATGTACCTTCTCCAAAAATCTATTCTAGTAGAAATGAGTGCAATATTTTCAAGATGATTGAGAAGTTGTATCGAAAATCATTCCACGCTCCGGTATCCAATGATTTAAACGTGTATTTTACAATTCTCTGAATTACGTAACTTGTGCCCTAATAATCTCCTCAACTCATCTGAGATTGTTGTTGTTGAAGAGGCGAAATGTTGTTAGAAACATTATCACTAAATTTTTTCAACAATTCGTTATCACCTGAAGAGAGACCCCAATTCATTACTCATAAATTTCTATAATGTTTTAGTTGCCTTCTGAAGTAAATATGCCCTTTCTTGCAGGAACGATTCGCTGTAATAAATATTCTTTTGTTATTTAGGAAGATGTCATCAGTGAGCTGAAATGCTTGAGGTACATTTCACCATATCACGATTTAGACACTGGAATTCAAATAGAGAACGCTAGATGTTCCGTGACCCAGCAGCACGAAAAAAAATCAAAAAATAATGCCAAAAAGAAGCTTTTTTCTCATAGTTGATTTAGGGATAGTAACCCTACTATGCCCTGAACCTTTGATTTTTGTTCACTAAGCTGTTATGCTTCCGGCGGCTTCGACCCTTGGGCTGGGAAACCTTGGTCCGACGGCAGGACTTGCCCCTGCGGGCTACCGCTTACCGTACCCTTGGACCCCTCTTCTCCCTGGGTTAGGAACCCGTGACGCCCCGGGGAGTAGGACCATGCTTGCGGGAAACAGCATGGTCCCCGGGAAGGACCCGTAGGCGCGTGTCCGGTAAAGGACCACGAGGGCTGCAAACCACCTTTGATGCGTCGTGTTGGAGAATTAGGAGGGCAACTGCTTCCGGAACACGAAGGCATTTTACATAGGCGTAGGTAATCATGAACTCGAATACTTCTTCGATTTTGAGAGAAACAAAAATGCATGGCTTACTCCTGATGAGAATATACACATTGTTCTGCGTTTTTGCCTAATTCTGCTGTTCTGCGTTTTTGCCTAATTCTGCTGTTCTGCGTTTTTGCCTACTTCCGAGTGGTATAGAGCATGAAATGGAGAGCAAAATCTGATAGCGGCTGTGGTGTACGTAGAGGGCGTCGTCATGCGGAGTCACACCCCCACCCCTGGTCCGTGCAGGATTAATACCCCTCTCCTTGTCCTCAAGGCGGGGGAGGACAAGGAGAGGGGTATGTAAGCGATTTCCATTTCCCCTATAACTCCTCTCGTCCTAGGCTCCCCCCCCGGCCGGTGATGTCCCACCCCTAGTGGTAAGTACACTAGTGCAATGATAGCTTTAGTTGGATGATTAACAATGATCTCTAGTAGATAAGGAAAGGATGGGATACATGGAGTGCTGATCTGAAGAGAGGTCATTTTGCATTCATTCGTTCACAATGGCTTCCGCTCCTGCCACTCCAGCCGAGCGTTCCAGCAAAAGCTCTGTTCAGTCAGCTGTATGGAACAACTTAGCCCCACCACCAGATGCGTCGCCAGTAGCTCACAATAAAATGCCGAAATTACTGGCTGTCGGGTAAGGCAAAACAACTCCGTAGTACCTTTGACAATTTCAGGTGTGGATCCCTTCTCGAATCGAATCTATCTGAGCATTTCAGACATCGGGAAGATTATCCAGAGGATTTTCTCGACACTGTTGAACGAATTGGTATTATATGTGATTGTCTAGACAAGCTGGAATGTCTGTGTTACCACGTGAAGAAGGTGAGCTCGCACAGATAGACTTCCTGCCTCAGGCACTCATGTCATTAGGGGGACAATGAAGTGAGTGGGCCACTCATAGAACTCGGAACTAAGCCTTAGGGAGGGAGAAAGGATTCTAGGTTCTCCCTGGTGTCTATCCCTATTTCTAGGCTTAATCAGCGTCACCTCCCTGTCGTTTTTGAATGCCATATTTTGAATGTCCCCCTGAGGACATGAGTGCCCTGTCCCATTTTCGGATTGAGGAGGAAATACTTTAGCGCTTCCTAAGATTACGTGGAACCAAATGTGGGGATTAGTTCGGCTGAATGCATGAAATCGTTATCTGCTCTGATGTGACAGAAACGTGCGGCAATTTTCTAACTACAAATCACTG